AGCGGGGGAAAACACGGGCGTTCTCGGGCCTGCCTCGGCCTCTGGGCCCCCCGGGGGTGCCCTGAGGGCAGAGGGGGGCTGCGGCGCGCTCGGAGCCCCTCCCGTTACCGCTTCTCCCGTTCCCTCCGCACGCCCTTTCGCCGCCTGATTTCACCCCGTTTTCTCCCTCGTCGGTGCGAAACCCCTTTGTTAAGGCCAGAGAGAAAAATTCTAAACGCTTCCCAAGGAACTACTGCTTTCTTTTTTTGGGGTGCCTTTCAGATCTGCAGAAGCAAGGGGAGAACGGAGAGCTGCTGCAGCCACTCCTCTTCGTCTTACTGGTTTTGTGCTCTGTCCTGCTGTACTTTAAGGTGTCTCTCATGGATCCGGGTTTTGTTAAGTCTGAAGAAGAAGTGAAGGTATATCACTTCGTGAATGGAAGAAAGTGCTGGGGCTATAAAATCTATAGGCTTATTTTCTTTTTCCCACTCTGCTAGGTAAGAACAATCTAAAACAGCTTCTGTTGCACTTGGCATAAAGGAGGCATACACAGATCATTGGAGACCAGGCCTAAGAGTCTCCGGTTCGCGTTCTGTAACTGCAGCAGAGTTCACAGGTTTTAAGTGTGTCTCTTACACCACACTCCTGTTGTAAGCACACTGTGCCATTTGAGCCTAAGTCCTCTCTTGCATCAGAGGCTGCAGTACCCTATGGAATATATACATGACCTTTGTTATGATAACCACCGCTAAGTGGTATGAGCGCAAAAAACCTGAATTGAATGGCAAGCTTGGAAGAAAGCGCTCTCTGCAGCTCTGTTTATCGAACTGTTTATAGATTTGTTGCCCTCTCAGAGGACATGTACACAAACAAGTTACAGTGAAGTAAATAGAGATGCAAAGTTCCATTAACTGAGAGGTAGTTTACTGCAGGTTCACACCCTTAGAGGTTGTGTAGGACAAAAGCCTTATCAGTTTTAATCATCCATCATTAATGTAAATGCTGGCTGTTATGAATAAGTAGCACTGCTTGTACTGAAAAGACATAATTGTTGTCTTTGGAAGTGAAGTCTAACTGTGTTTCTTTTTGTCCCAAAGCACAATGTTGGGATCCGTGTGGTATCTTGTCCACAATTACTTCTGCCTCTGTGCAAACGTTCTTTTGGTGGTTACAGTAGCCCGTTCAATCTTGATGTACCTTAAGTGTCTGCAGTGGAATTTCATGACATGGTATTTATACAGCAGCTTCTGTAGGACTTCTAAGGAATTATTTTAACTCCCCTAATGATAGAGGTAGCCAGCACTGTGTAACTGTCAAGTAAAAGGATCCAGACAGCTCAGTCATGCCAAGTGCGATAATAGCTGCTGTACTTCAGACAGCAGCACACAAAACCTGCTTAGTCACTCTCTTTCTCTTTTTCTGTAGGCAGGCAAGAGTGAAGAACAAAGCATGGTGATACCCCAACTTCCAAGTATTATTAAGATGCGGCGTTGTGGTTACTGCATGGTGAAGGTAGGCATTCATAACGCGCCAGAAGAGGACGAGATGAGTGATTTGCAAGCTTACATTTTTTGGCAGCATCTTTGTTCAGCTGCTGTTGCCAGTGTTTTTCTGCTCTATCACTGCTGCTCGCTGGTTTGGAGGCATGGCACATCTGATTAATTCTGTTAAGGGGTCACCCTTCTGCTGAAAAACTCACAGAAAAAGTAAATACAACTAGCAAATTGAATTGCAATACACTCCTGAATTGAAAAGTGATCCAAACAAATTGTGTAGCTAAATATGTAGTAGTGATGGACATAGGCAGGTATGCTAGTTTTCGAAGGCTGAAACAAGTCCCTGCCTGCTTATAGAAACAAGGATCTTTTGCCATGGGAAAATTGTATTCTACGTTCTTATTGCCATGTCAGCCAGACCTTGCAGCATTGTCAAAAAGGTTATTTTGAAGATACCTTGATGGAGAGTGGGAAAGGCAGTTGAGCATGACATAAGAACTATTGGTAATTGTGAGCTTGTTTGGAGACCTAAAAACAGAACACTAGACTGAATTGTAAAAGATAGCATGAAGGAAAAATCAGAGCAATTAAATTAGCTCTTAAAACAGTTTGCCTAAAGCCTAGAAAGGCTGTTTTTAGAGTGATCCTTATCAGTTTAATAAAAACAAGCATTATCCCAGCTTCCATAAATTCCTGAAGAATATCTACCAGGAGAAGTGAGCTTATTGCAAGAGGAATAGCTGGCAAAACATCTATATACTTCAAGGAGCAAATCCTAGGAGGCACTACTTTTCTCAGCCAGGTCTTTCATCTTCTCTATTCCTGGTGCTTGAGCTGCTTTCCTGTGCAAGAGTCTTGGATTCACACAGAAGTAGAGACAATTCCCTTCTCTATGCAGTTCCATAAAAGCATCCTATCCCTGCCCACTTTATTTCAGTAGCAGTGGTCCTAGTTTTTCACCTCGATACTCTGCTCATGCTTTCCTGAATAGACTGATTGGCTCTATCTCCCCACTTTGCACACTGAGCTTCCTATAAATAGGTAGATAACAAAGAAAAAGTATAGAAGGAAGTAGTGTGGGAGAGTCATTTGATTTGAATCTCACTCATTTGGATCTGTACCAGGGGAATCATGATCCCCTTTAGTTGTCTTGGCAATGTTCTATGTTGTGCCTTATCTCAAAATGGAGTGCTTTTGGGACAGTACTGCTGTGGAGGGGAACAGTTTTTCATGATGGTGGACTCCTACCAAACAAGGAGTTGGACAGCAGTGGACTATTGCTAGTGTCTTTTTCTTTTTTGTTTGATTCTGTTTGGCAGCAACCAATGCGAGCCAAGCACTGCCAGCTGTGCCAACACTGTGTACGGCGCTACGACCATCACTGTCGTTGGATTGAGAACTGCGTAGGAGAGAAGAATCACCCCCTTTTCATAGTCTACTTGAGCGTGCAGCTTGTAGTTCTGCTGTGGGGAGGCCACATCGCTTGGTAAGGCCTGGAGGTGACACTTCGACCTCTGAGACTGCAGAAAGTTCTGGTGCTCCTAGAGCTCCACTGAAGGGTTGATGTAGAACATAGCAGTGACTGCGTCGGCTTTGGACTGGCTTTGTTATCTTCACCCTCTTTTGTGTCCCGGAGATCAGCTCTTCTGAGCCCCCTAATCTGCTGAGGAACAACGTAGATGATGAATAGCTGAGCAGAATCTGATAGTTCGGGTTTCATTGTTCAGCTTTGTTTTAAGCTTAAATTAACAGAATTAATAACAGTACAAAAGCTAACTATTTATTCTTCAGTTACTGTAATACAATTCTTGTTCACAAATCTGAGTACTGGAAACTCCCAACAGGGTTTTCAGCTGTACACCTGTTTGGGAGAGGAGTTAACGGAAGAGGTTTGTCTCTCGCAGCTGTCAGGTGAACCAGCATCTTTTAAACTTCTTAGAATCTAAGTTACTAATGGTGCAGTCTCTTAAGAGTTGGTAGTATATTGACTCTCTGTAGTATGTAATTATCAGAAGCTCACTAATTATGAATCAAACTTAAATGTGCCATCCAGTTTGCTTGGCTTATGTAACTAGTTCTACATCTTTAACTGTTAATTTACTTCTCTTTTAACTGGAAGGTCAGGCCTCTACTTCGAACAGTCCTGGGACTGGCTGCAGCACAACATTTTCCTCCTCATGTCCTTCCTCCTGATAGTCGTATTCACCATGGTTGTCCTGCTGCTGCTTATTTCACACCTCTATCTGATCTCATGCAACACCACCACCTGGGAATTCATGTCACATCATCGCATCCCCTACCTGCGACACTCTGAGCTGGAGAATCCTTTTGACCAAGGGGTAGTCCTCAACCTGTGGAGATTCTTCTGTTCATGCCAACTCACCACGTGGGAGAAAATCTACTTTCACAGGAACAATGAGCCTGTCTAGTCACAGTAGTACCTACTTGGTAGGGTGCCAACACAGCTGCAGCTTGCTGGATAAAGCTTTACTAATGCAATTGCTGCTGTTTCCTTGCGTGGAGCTTTAGTACATCATGAACTGTGCAACATGTTCCACAACCTGTTTATCCTGCAAGTTACATTTCAAGAACAGTCAGGGTTTTTATATATGAATACACTGTTCAAGGGGAGACACTGGTTCTGGGAAGGCCAGCAGGGCTGGCTTCTGGACTAGGCAAAGGTATCTCTGTAAATTTACCTCCTTTTGTTAACTGCATCTACATCTCTTCAGAAGAGATGCAAGAACACTGTGAGCATCCATGTTTACTTCTCTTCCCCAAAGTATCCCTCTCCTTTTGCTGCTGGGGAACCGCAACTATTACAGACAAAACCAGCCAGCATCAATACGATTCCTGTGGCCTGCCTTCAACATAGTTCTCACTGTGAGAACCGCAGTGCCTTTTGTCAGTAGTGTTGGGCACGTAATAGAAATATTTGAGCAAATATTTGGACAGTCAAAAGCAAATTTCATTTTGACCACATGCCTAAACTTCATGCTTTTCACAAAGATTTGAGTCTTAATAGTGTTAATGTGCATGAGAAAGAGCTGTAGGGCACCAAATTCAGCTTACGAGATAATTAGCCTGTACTTTGTGATGCCCCAAACAGCTTCCTAACAGTTTTTTCTTTAAGTTGATGGCACTGTTTTAACAATTCATAGACTATTTTGAATGAAGTCAGCAGAGAATGATACCATCCACTTTTCTTTGGACATAAAAGTAACACTTGCCTACCGAATGATTTCTGCAGGTGACTTCCTGCTCAGGCCTTTCCTGTAGCTTGTGGGGAGAGAACCAGTACTTCGTGCCTAGCTCAAGTAACACTGTTGGTAATACTACTACCTCAAGGTACTAGTAAAATTTTACTAAAAATACAAAGTTTCAATGCAGTTTTACTAAAAGAATACAAAGTTCAATGCAAGAGGAAAGATTCTAGGTCCTGTTTATTTCATTGAGATGAGGGGGTGCTGATAGCTTTCTAGGGTAGCAGCAAGCTTGTTTTCCATTGTAATAAAAGGTCATACTTCAAGTTTCCATGAGGAACTAAAAGGAAGTTTGGGGTGACCAATTTTAGCCTTAAAACCAGAAAAGGCTGTGATACGAATTTTAGTCCTGACCCTTTTCTGTTTAAAAAAACCAAAACAGCACCACGACAAAACCTTAGTTAAAATTATTTTGTGCCTTAATTGCCTTGGCTCAGGAATTAACATCAGCCCAAAAGCACATCTGGCAAGATGGTAGGATGCACTCAGGGTTTAAAGTTGATGAGCAGCCATGAAAGGACAGTGTAATCACTAATGCAGCACGATAGTCCAAAAGCAGCTTAAAACCAGCAGAAGGATCCCTTTTTTGACCAACTCCAGAGTTTGTAATCTGTGTCCAGTCTGGTTTGTTCAGGGTAGAAACTCCTATCAGAGGGATATCAGAAAGCTAAGAATTGTTTTCATAATAATGGTATACCAGCCAGAAAGGATTCTGCAGTTTGTTTGTGTCAGTGTGGTGCCTGCTGAAGTATGGCTTATCTGCCACATAGCAGTTTCTGATTCTTCAGCTATCAGTCAAAAATTTGTCAGCAGGTACTACCGCTCAAAACACACCGTTTTGCTCTGTTTGGTAATTCTTTTTTAAATGCACTAGGAGGATAGTTTACAGTCCTTTTATTTTACTATAAACTATAAATTAAAAGATTAAATATGCCTTTTTTGTTCCTTTATGCCTCACTCTGAGCCCAAGTTCTAGGTTCACCTGCGCTAACACTCCACGGTGCTACTTACCACTTTACAGAGGCCCTGACCTTAAGAAAAGTCACAAAACGCACTGTAGGAGCCAACAGCAAGACAACCATTACTGTTCAAACAAGGGTGAGGAAAATGTGTATCCTGTTTTAAATGGGCCATTACACTGCAAGGCAGAGCAGGAGATTGAAAGGATATTTGTACACAAGAATTTTCAGAAGCAGTTATACTTGGCTCTGAAAATAGGAAATTTAGGATTAGTGTGAATTACTTCTGTTTTGCACAAACATAGCTCTTACCTCTCTGAATTCTGAAGCACACAGACCAGCCTGGATTTAATAATGACAACTCACTAGCTGCACCCAAATGTAATCTCCAGATACAGCATGATTGCCTTAGTTCAACTTCTACCTCTGTTGAAGACAAACTGAAAGAGTAATAGCTGTGTGCTATTTGTCGTTGTCAGTGTGATGCTTCATTTCTAGAAACCTTTCCTTTCTTTGGCCAACAAGGTAACTTTATGAATTTAAGAGAAGAAAATTTATCTTCCAACAAGCTAACTTTATGAATTTAAGAGAAGAAAATTTATCTTATAAAGTATAATTACAAGATATGTTACCAGGCAAATGAAATCACCTTTAATTTCCTGATTTTCCAACATTAATACAGGATGTACACATTGATCTGCAGAGAGACAACTTGACTGTAATCATTTGTATGTGACAGCTGACGACATCATGCAATGTGTGCACAGAAAAGTTGAGTGAGAAGGAAGGAAGAAAATATTCCTATTGACATTTACAGAGAAAAATAAAATCCTGCCTGTTGAGCAGAATATGGTTAGCCCTGATCTGAAACATTCAGCTAACACCAAGGAGATGAAAAGCTGAAATTTCATTATAAGAAAAGGTATCTTTATTTAAAAAAAAAAAAAAGAAGCATGTGCAAAGCTGTGTCTTTTGTATATCAATAAAAACAATAGCTAAGATTTAGCACTCTCAAAGAAGTAGAAAGAGAGTCCTTTTCCTTAAGATATATCACTTGGATCATTATTAAACCAAAACATCATTATCTTGGTTGTATTAAAATCCATTCCTTCTCTGGCATACATAATTATGAGTAGGAGTGGGCATAAAATCGTTATAAAGCGGGAATGCTGCATATCTTTTCTAGAAAATAGGTGAGAAGTGGCCATTCCCTCTGCTACTATGCAACTTAAAAAGCCCTGCTACTTACTTAGGCTTTTTGCAGAGTAGCCTGGGTTGCAGAGATTATTTTATTTCATTAAATTAGTCCAGCTTAAATTCCAAATTTCTGTCTATATTCAATGGCAGCAGAAGATACATCCAGTCAAACACTAATTACTCCTTAAAGATAATTGACATCCAGTATCCCTCTGAGAAACAAGGCTGAAAAAACCACAGTAGGTTAACTCAGCTTGCAGGGCACTCTCTTCCGGGGGTCATCGGCACTACCAGTTCTACAGATTCTGTTGACTTTTCCATTGCCCGTGCCAAGTCCTCTCTACGCTCTCTCTAGGTGGTAACAATTTGTTCATGTTTCTTATAGCAGAGGAATCAAACATCTAAAAGGTGTCTGGAGACAAAGTCAAAGTCCTTGAAGGCAGTCTGCTCCTTACGAGTTAGGAGAGCAACCTCCTCTGGAGGAGTAAGGATTGGCTTTTGTGATGTAAACTCTTCATCAAAGTTGCTAATGTCGGTCGGATCTCTTAAAGTGGGCACGAAAGGGGGCTTCAGAGTCCTGGCAAACAAGGCGTCCCAATCAATATCCTGTAGGAGAAGGAAGCAAAAAGGCCAGACTGACATTAAGATTATTTATTAAATGTGAGAGTAAGAGGGAGGATTGCAGCCTCACAGATCATTTGCAACATGTCTTATTTCTACTAGTTTAAAAAAAAGAGAGAGAGACAGAGACAGAGAATTGAAAAAAGGCCCAAAACAAACAGCATAGTCGGTGCAGGCCGGGCAGTACAGAGATTCCATACAGTCTAAGGCTGTTCTTCAGAACACCAAGAAACAAAGCTACAGCTCAAACTATATTTAGGACGGACAAAACTAAAGCGCAGCTGTAACCAGGTGGATCTGTGGACTTCCCAGTAATTTCTGCTGACATCCAAATTCTTTTCTTACTCCAGTGCAAAGCCAACCAGGGGCTATAAGGCTAATAACTTCTGGCAGACTGGTAATGACAAGGGGGAATGGTAACACCTTTGCCTGGAACAGAGATAGACCCTTAACCCAAAGAAATGTGTCTGTAACCTCAGTTTCTCTTCGGATTCAGGTATATCCTGCAAATGCAGGTGCCATCAAATAGACTGACTGGAAGTCACTGTCATCACTATATAGCATCTTTGACTACTGCAGTTTGATTTTAAAAGGGGTATTGGTTGATGGATTGAAAGGTAGATAGATTTGTACACCAAAGCAGCACAATCAGAAATAACAAATTGTCTCTGGAAGCTTACAAATACCAGAAAACATACCTGAGGGATGTAATTTCAAACATTAATTGAAACATATCGTCCTGAATACAGCAATGAGGTGCAACAGAAGCTACCACTAAGATCTCACTGATAACTGATGGAAGTATGCCTCAATATCAACAGAAAGCAAATCACTCTCAGCTCAAACACAAGAGATGAGGATGAGGGCTAAAGTGAGCTCCTACCTTGAAAAAGGCCTGGATTTTAATCTCTTCTGCATCTCTTTCCCCTGCTCCCAGTCTACGCTCTGGACACTTCCGAAGAAGCTACAGGAAATATCAGTTCAAAATTAAACAACTGGAACAAGGATGGACAGAGAAAACAAAAGAAAGGAGATGGACTGACCCCTCAGTATCTTCTCATTCTCACTTTGCAGCAAGGTCATAATCTGCTAGTAATAGTTCCTTGTAAACAACATCAATAAGGTACCCACTATAAACTGCATGAAACATCTCATCTTAATCATGCACCTGTGACTACTGGGTCACATTGAAAAATCAAGCCATCTCCACTGAATGACATTCCTACCCTTGAATCAACACTTCTCTGTTTCAGAGTTAGCAGCAACAGACCTCAGTAAGAAGTCATAGCATTTATGTGAAGAAAGGAAATAATATGTGTAAATTTTAAATGTTTCCTTAGTCTGTGTAGGCAGTTCTAGATTACACACACAAATGCTATCCAGTCCTAATAGAGTGTCTCTGGATCCACTTACACAGTAAATGCAAATTCCTCAGGCTCCCAGAGACCCATCAAGCCCATTACCTTACGGATTATAGAAAGTGCCTCAGATGAAAGGAATCGTGGATACCGGACTTCATCGTTGACAATACTGTCAAAGACTTCTTCCTCATCATCTCCAGGGAATGGTGACTGCAATTGCAACATTTTATTATTTAATCCACATAGCACCCATTTCTCCCTATTAAATAGGGATGAGAATAGCAGGGAGTTGTATGGATTAATTAGTGTTTGGCAAGCACTATGAATGAGAAGAATGTAATATAAGTACTAATAAATAGTTGGCTGCATTCAGCAAAATTTTATCTCAGGTGGTTGGGTACTGCTGTCCCCGAGACTGCTTAGCGAGATCTTCTTAGAGAAAGGTGGCCTCACCTCACCAACAAGCATCTCATAAATGAGTACACCCAATCCCCACCAGTCCACTGCCCGAGTGTATGAGATGTCCGTCAGGACTTCTGGAGCCAGAAATTCAGGGGTGCCACAGAAGGTGTTTGTGCGATCTCCAAAACCTATTCCTGTAGGAAAAGAACACTTCTGTAAAATTCAGCACACACTACTAAATGGATCACATGCGGTCTCACCTTCTAAAAGCCATAGATTATCGTGTGATCATCTAATTTTAACTGGGCAAGGGCTCTCATAAAATGCTTGTAAGTGCCAATAAGGAAGTATGAAACCTAAGGCCCCTAAAACCTCCAAACAAGAAATGTATAGACAATGTTTAAATAAACAGCAAAGCCAAAGAAACTTCCTGCAAATTCCATTGCATATTTACTCAGGTATGCATTTTGTAGTACCCTATATTCTGGCTCCTTTGAGCAAACAAGCACATTGTAAACTCCTTCATAAGTTTCCTGAAGATTAAAGGACAAAGTACTGTTTCCAAGTTCATCATGGCCAGACAGGTGAGGGGTTTTTGTTTGGTTTGTTTTGGTTTTTTGGTTTTGTTTTTGGTGGGTCTTATTTTTAAGATGGCGCTGAATACAAGTTACACACAGCCACTTCAGTAACTGTATTTGTGAACTCATTACTAAAGCCCAAATCCTAAACTGGTTCTGATGGTTCAGTTTTGATAAGTGACTTCCTCAAAGTCACTCACCTTCCTTACACAAACCAAAATCTGCGATCTTCACAAATCCTTCAGCATCTAAAAGCAAATTATCCAATTTCAGGTCCCTGCAGGCAAAGAAGAGGAAAGAAAATGGTGGATGAGGTCTGAGAATTGCCATTCAACATCTTTTTTTGCAAGAGGCAGAAACTAGATGTTAATAAAGAAAATAAAATCTAAATTGAATAAAGTCTACATTTGGTTTAAATAATGTATTATTTGGAAGCTTCCCCTTAATTTATTTATATTTTCCTCTTCATGAAAGGCTCACAAAGCAGCTTAGAGCTGGGTGGGGCTTATTCATCTGGAAAAGAGCATCCCACAACAGCATGACAAATTATTTGACTATCACAGTAAAAAAAGAAAGCAGTGTCTTACAGGTGCCCCCCAGCATGTATTGACATGTCACAGGCAATTAATCACCTGCAACATGTCAGATGAATAGCTTCTAGGTGACTTTCTTTACTGTAAGCATGAAGAACATGCTGATAGCAACAGACTATGGGGAAAATAAAAACAGACAGAAGGATTAGAAACCCCAGCAAGATAGTGAGCTCCAGACATACAGCTACAAGAAAAATAAACTTTCAAGTTGCTGAACTGTCTTATACTTGATTCTTTGCTGCATTACCTATAAACAATTTTCTTCTCATGCAAGAACTGGAGCCCCAAGACTACGCAGGCTGTATAAAACCTAAAAGAGAGAAATAGTTATCAGGAAATATATATGAGAATCAAGTTAAAATGTATAGTGGCTGGAAACTAGACTAATTCCAACTCACTGTGCCATATGCTCCGAAAAGACATCTTCATGTATGCGCATCATAAGATCACCACCTGGAGTATATTCCATCACAAAACAAGCATGATGAGGTGTTTGGAAACATGCAAACATGTTCACAAGGAATGGATGATCAGAAGAATTGACCACTTCAAATATTCGCTTCTCACAGTTCAAGCTGCCAGGATTCAAAGAACAAAAACATCAATGTTAAAACTTGGCAGAAAAGCCTGTCTTGAGAAAGACAGGATGTAAGAAGAAAAATCTTTACATCTTAAGTCAAAGAAATAAAAAGTGAGAGCTAATACAATATTTATCTTACATGTTTCCAAACCTTGAGTTTTAGAATGTTCTTCAGGTGTTATTCCACCAGAAGCAGTGCTGTTACAAGTTTCCTTATTCCTGGATTTTAGTTACCCAAGCCTTAAAGTCGCATTTAACCTTAATAGTACCACGACTAGTACACATCATATTTACTAGCATTTGATTACAGGTGTGTTAATGTAGCCTCTGGCAATAGTACCATCTCTAAAGAAAGCTCACCTATCAATTTCATCTCTCCTAATAATATCCTTTTTCTTCAAGGCTTTGATAGCATACAGCTTCCCAGTTGCCTTGTATTGGGCCAGCAGTACCTGAAAGACAACAGAAAAGCTGTACTTCAAACAAATCTATTATTTCCTTATTGGATTACTTTGACTCTCATTGACACAAGCTATTTCCATCCACTCCAGACAGTCATTCTCAAAACCAAGCTCAAGTAACACCGGTAATGGGAGTACTTTTTTTCTGCTCCTTGCACTGCAGCAGTCCAGAAGGATGTCAGTGTAAGCTATATTCTTTTCACAAACAGTAGTATCGCAGCTGGCCGAGTGCTTTATGAGCATCTCAGAGCTCTCACAGCAAGCGACTATATGCACAGTTTTTGGGAATGCAGCTATTCCACTAGTGATCACAATGATAATGAAAGGAACGGTAATGATGTGCTTTATGAAATGACTTAGCACTCCCTGGATGTTTTCCTCCAGGCTTTGAAGCCACAAATCTTCAGGACTTTTGACTGTTAACAGGAGTTGTCAACTGCTTGTGTGGTTGGGTTTGTTTTGTACGTCTGCATTGCAACAAATCTCTTCTGTACTGTAAGGTTTCTATTCCGACTCCAAGGCAGAGGGCCATCTTCACAACCACAGCCCTACTGCCCTCCTCCACAAAGTGCACACTTGTACACTACCTTCCCAAAGTGGCCACGGCCCAGCATGGCAATGCAGTGAAAATCCTCAAGCTGAACTGTCTTTTTCCTGCAGACAAAGAAAGAAGAATTGCTGAGACAATACCCAAAAGATGCATAAACAGATAATAAAGGAGTGTGTATTTATGTTAGGGGAAGAAGCTCTGTAGAGCAAAAGGGAAAGCAAACAGCTGTGTCAATCACTCCTCTCCTAGGCTGAAATCCTGAAAAGTTAGGCTTGCTGCTGCTGTTCCGCCACTGTAGAAAGGAGCAGGTAACTGTAAGGTGAGGAAACCACTCCCAGTGGCAGCAGTCTGCTTTCATCTGTACTGGCAACAGGAGCAACAATTCTGACTGTCCAAGGCTTGCTCTCTCTGTTACTTCCCATAACAGGATTAGTTCCCTCTGACCCCCATCCTTGGGGTAAAATTAAATTTTGCCTACATTCCTTTCAGCAGGCTCAACAGCAATTGTGTCAATCAGACACGAACATGTGTATCAAGTGCTAGTAGGACAAGGGCATATGGAGAAAAGAACTTCCTAAACAGGAATTGGAAGTGAAACATGGTGAGACAGAAGACATAAGATGTTGCTGGAAAAAAAGTAGCTGAATAAAGATGTGCCATGGAACATTATGTCAGCCACAAGGTGTTACCAAGGAAACTCAGGCTGCAGAGTTACTTGGAAAGAATTAAAAAAACCCCAAAAAACAAAACAAAAACACAAAAAACAACCCACACCCTAAAAGCTTTAGTCCAGGATAATCTTTAAAAAACAGCAAATGTTCCATCTGCCTTCTCAGAGAGAAGGTAGAGCAGGTGCCTGACTGCATCCTGACTACATGGTTTTGAAGATGGGACCCCTCAAAAGTCATGATGAAGTTACGAACATAATTCTATGATCTGAACTGCAAAATCAGCTAGATAGATTTTGCTATTTGTGCTTTTTTTGGTCATTATTTATTAAACAATATAATTTTTGTTACTTGTCCTGTTTTTGGTATATTTACTACTGTGTATCCTTGCTACATACAAATTGTGTGTATATAACTGCCAGAGACTACAAACAACTTTACTGTTTTATGCCTCCCTACATAGTGAAAGACAATGTATCTTGTATATCAATAGAAACCAGAAGACTGTGAGGGATGTCAAAAGTGTTTCTGAAATGTATTACTTAGAATGCAGACATGTCTAAATATGCTACACCATAAAACTTCAAACACAAGGAAGCACTTGAAGACAGTTAAGTGACTACCTTCCACTCAAGTCATCTATTACATTGTAGTGTACAGTCTATCAATAGGCTAAGTATTGGGGTTAATAAGCAGATAAGGCGCAGCAGACATTTGGACAAATAAAGTTCAGAGCAGACTTCTCATGGTATTGTCTACACTCAGCACTAAGAGTCTGCTGCTAAGAAACAAAAGAATACCTTGAGAAGAATTTTAGACTGCATGCTCAAAAATATCATCCTAGTGCATCTTTAATCTATAACCCAAGACAACCCATGCTGTCCATAATTACCTTGGAGATGCCGGGATTGGAAATTCTGTTAGAGCAGAGCCACAAGACTTCTCAACATGCAGCCTCTTCAGACACTAGGAACAGAAAGAAAATTACAGTGTGTCATCCTCCGGAATCACCAAGTCAGACCTGAACACCCACATCCAAATTTTCTCCTCTGTCATGATCCAGCATAACCACAGACAAGTTCTTGCAGTTGGTCATTGCCTCTGCTTCAAGGGAAACAGCATGAAAAGAGATTGTCTATGATCACACAAAACTAATTCCCATGTACAATATTTTTTTTATAGGGCCAAAACCTTTACAAACATTTATTTTAAAAGTCTAAGATAAAACATTTCCTTTCTAGAAAAAAGGCATCTCATGTCCCAGAAAGAGTCACAATGATCAAAGAATGCAGTTCCCTCTATCACCAAAGCCAAATGAGAAAGGGTAAGATGCAGTAGAACACAGGTCATTAACCATTATACTACTGAAAACAATTTTCCTGCTCCTTTCTGTCAGAAAAGTAGGGCTCTTCTTGGGTTTGCCCAGTTTCTTTAATGACAAATAGCAAAGCCTGTCCACCTTCCTTCCCTGCCTTCTCTGTGCCGACATCTTGCCCTGACCTCTCAAAGCTGACCTACCTCTCATTTTGCTTCTCCAAGAAAAGCAACTTATAATTTAAAAATAAAAAAAAAAAAAGGAAAGGAAGAGGGAAAGGAAGAGGGAAAGGAAGAGGGAAAGGAAGAGGGAAAGGAAGAGGGAAAGGAAGAGGGAAAGGAAGAGGGAAAGGAAGAGGGAAAGGAAGAGGGAAAGGAAGGAAAGAAAGTTGCAATACTTTTGTGAAGACTCCATGCCAAAATAGCTCACTGGATTCTGAATCCCTGGAGATCAGCCAGCTAATGAGGAGCTGCCTGCCTAAAGTTAATTTCTCCAGTAATAAACAATTAAGAAGAACTGTGCCTTGAAAGAATACCAACCAACAAAGAAAAATTGCCCTATTAGCCCAGATGATTACCGGAGAATCTGCAGGAGACTGTGTTGATTCTTTGGAGTTGGCCATCATAAAAAGGCGTGGAGGCTTGGGTGGTGCTTCATCAGCAAATGTAAGCTTAGCCACAGGAAAGTCACTGCATTTGTAAGACAAAATTGAAGGAGATTGCCTTAGGGCAGAACATTGTACACAGACACCTTGCATCACCTTTGCTATACAAACAAAGTTTAGTTCAGTCCAATACACTGGACAACAGGACTCCCTGATTCACACACAAGACTGTGAAGTATCAACAAGACATATGGTCTCCTAAATGAATGAAAAGAAAATGAGCTATTAAGTTGTTGATGGTTAGAGTCACGTTTCAACATTAGCTCTCTGATGTTATAAAATTAATGAAACATAGGTGGTGTAGAAATAGGTCATTATGATCAAGAATTTAAAGGAAGTCTTGATTTTAATAGCAACACAATAGTTGACAATTTTTTTTCTTTCTTTTCTAGATCTTGTGAATAAGTGGGAAGAGTCTCAGAGAATGACTAATTCTCTAAAAATTTATTCCAACAATTTAAAAAAATTATTAGTTAGAGAATTTTCTTCTACAGCATATTTAAAAGCTTAGTTACATACCTTCTGAGTGCTACATTATGCTAGTGGTTGGGGTACATGTAACCTCATGAAAGAAGAGTGCACTTCTACCACAACAATCCCAATGTAACCTTGTACAGAGTTCAGTTACTATACTGGTGAAGACATTTAACAAGTGAAATTTTCTTTCCTTTGCAATGCAGAACCAGTACATTTTTTGTGTGTATATAATCTAACTTTTGAAAATCTGCTTTTGGTTTGGGTTTTTTTTGTATCACAGTGTTTACTTATCATCACTTTTATGCCCACAGTTCTTACTGCAGAGGAAAAGCAAGCTGCTGAAGTTCCCCTGACTCTGGAACACACTGCTTGTTAGGACAGCAATTCTGGAAATTGGCCCAACTGCTAACAATAAATCAGAGCATATTGAACACCCCACTAAAACCACATTGTTTCAGGCATCACTGGGTTTTCTTAAAGTCCTGAATTAAGTTCCACAGAAACAATTTTCACATCAGTGTCTTCCTTCACCTTAGTAAGGTGCAACAGAATTTTAAGATCTATCCTGCACCTATTCGAGAGTGTCATCCAGCAACACTCAGAACATGACTTACCTACTCAGTTTGGACATTGAATCAACATGACTTTGTGAGGGAGCTGGAGAGAAGTCTGTGTGAATGGGATCATGAAGTGGGGGACTCAGAGTGCTCATGGAACTACACGGAGGGAGGAAACTCATCATCAGGCGACCCCAAGCAGCAACATTTATGTTCATTTGAGGAGCTCGGAGAAATTCCTTCCCTGGAGGAGTCAGAGTCAAAACACCAGTGAGATTACAATGCACAAATTATAATCTCACGTACTGTTAAATTATTGTTTTCACCCAGACATCTGTGGGTTACTCAAAAAGATAGCCCACCCTAGGGAGAATGGTCTTTTTTTTCCCAGGGAAGAAAGTTTGATAATGATGTTGATGAAACAGATCTACTATTTCACCTAAGTTCAGCTCCATATAATACCATAACAATCCTCAAGTAGAAATTGCATAAAATATTAAAAATTTATTTTAAGTCAGATTTTCTTCTATTTCAACACTGCATTTTAATCATGCATTCTGTTAACAGAAAGTTTCTGAAAATGTCTTAAAAAGAGTAAAATATTTGGGATGTTTTCATTATTTTTACTACTTCCTGAAGAATATAAAATCTCATTTATCCCCACTACCAGAAGTTCTCAGTATATAAAGTCTTACATTATTCAGCTTCACAAGAAAGAATTTGCAGACAAAAAGTAAAGTATGCAGGCTATTCCAGTCCCTAGACTAATAATACGAGGTGCCAGCTCTAAAGACTTGACAGACAGTAAGTAGTCTGTTTATGCTACAGTCTTCTGTAATTGAGTTTTCCAGAAAATGTTTCAACTATCTGTTCATCAGCACAGCATTGCTGGTTAAATTAGTACAGCTTGAGTCCTGGATCTTACTAAGAAGTCTGTTAAATAATCTGTATTTATATCTTCCTAACAATGTTAATTGTGAATAGAAAAACTACAACAATATGACATTACACACCATGCTGCCTGCACTTTTTGTGACTGAACACATTTTCATGTTCTAATAAAGCCCACCTATTTACACACAGTAATTAGCAAGCATTTTAATGTCTCACAAATTTAATGGGATAGGAGTGCATGCCAACCTGCTTGTGCAAACCCCTGACCTCACCTACACTCCCTAGATAGTAGGCAGTCTGTTCTCCAGCAGCTTACCTTTCTGTTTGGGGAAAATGCGTTTCTGTCGCTGCAGTTTTGGCTTTCTCTCAATGACAGGATTACAGAACATCACCTGTCAGAGAAGCAAAGGGGATTTGTCAGGATTCTTCATTTACATTGTGAACACAAACTTTTGCATATGCCTGCTCTCTCATAAAATTCTCCATTCATATCTGTTTGGTAAGTTAGGAGTCACTCACCCCCATAGACTCCAAACTATATTATTCTAGCTACACCCTCTAAATGTTTGTTACTTCAATTGTGGTTTTAGACACTGGAATTTTCTGCTACTGGAAATGCAGAAACCCCCCCAGAACTAAGACCAATTCATATCTCAAAATTAATCTAATTTGTAAAGCCATGCACAAAGAACACGGCCATTTGTAGAGTAAAAAAGTAGTAGTCTGCGGCACAGAAGTAAAAACCAAAGAACCAAAAACCACCCCCACAAAACAAAACCACAAAAAAACAAGAAGCGGGGGAGAGGAGGCAAATTTTGGTACATGAGGTCAAAATCCTGCTTTTGGAAAGATAACCACAGGAATTTTCATCACAAAACAAGGAAGAAAGTACTGCAGCTTTTAAGGGATTATCTGGATGATCTCTTCATTGATGTACTTCAAAATATTATTAGTCTCAGAAAGATGATAAAATAAGCATACCCAGAGGGAATTTGGATCTCTGATTCTACAGCCTCTGTGATTCAATTCTGACCATTAAGCCATATGTTTAATTAAAAGTGTCAGCAATGACTCATAATGAAAGCAAATAAAAACCAATGGATTTCACAGCACACACACATATAATTACAGTGGAGCAGCTGAAGACTCACTCCAGGCTATGGCATGTATACATCTATTATATCATGTTGTTCCTTATTCCTATATGTGATACTGATGCAAAAGGACTTCAGGTGTCATTCTACCCTTCTAGATTATTGCTCCTTCCGTTCCTTCTATCCTGGGTTGAACAATTGCTTTCAGGGCAGGCACCCTAAACAGACAGAGTTCTCTGAAAAAGAAACAAAGCTGGCATTTATACCTCTGCAAAAAGCATTCCTTGGGGTTCAAGTGAGAGGCACATCCCATGACGTTCGTTATCAAGGAAATCATCCAAACGTAAAAACTTCACTGCACAGAGTTCTCTCCAGTCTCTCCAATAAATTGCAATTTCTAGCTCACGAGACTGGTGGGATGGGTGAGGGGGGAGGAAAAAAAAAAAAAGCAGAAGAGTTACATACTGCCCCACGCTCTGGAAATGGCACACACACCCTGTTGTAAAAAAATCAGTAAACTAAACAGTATGCATAAGAAATTTCTTTAATCCTTCTGTTCCCTGCTTTCTCTGATGTTTTCAGTTCTTCTTAGCTACAGACCCTCTTGAAGATGGCTGTCTTGGCTCCTCATTTCAGAAATCCCTGAGAGCGCCACTTTGCTGGTAAGATGAAATAAAACTGCTCAGATAAAGAGAGAAGGACAACAGATGCTGTTCAGGCTGAATCTCTGCCAGAGCTGCACTGCCTTCAGGGGAAGACTAAGATAACTGGCACATAAAAGGACATGGGGACAGCAGCAATACAGAGCTGAATCAAATGGAATGGCAGCTAAACAAGCAAACTGGGTAAGGTGAAAAGGAAAAACAAATACAACACACAGAATCCAGGGCAGACTTACCCGGTCCAGCTCAGTGACAAAGCTCTGGTCCCATGCCTGGTTATTAACTGGTCCCCAGTTTGTTTGGCCAACCACTTTATTGTCCACTTTTAGCACAGCAAGGACCTCATCTGGGCAAAGGAGAAAACATGGATTATAATCTTATACCACAGAAAAAACCACTCTCATGCTGAAGGTGAATATCCCAATTAAATGTAATTTCCAGAAGAATATTAGGAGGACCGGGTATAACGCAATTCATTCTCTCTCTTAGTTTTGCAGAAGCCAGGTTTCTTATAATTGCACTCATACCAGGCTAACCTGGTACCCAGACAAGAAGCCCCACACTCCCATATGCCACTCACAATTCAGCAGGGAACCCCATACTCACTACATGGCTCTTCATTCCGCAGGTACTTTCCTGCAACACTACGGCCATGGATACCCAGGCCAACTCGTGTTCGGGAAATGGACCTCAAATCACTTGGGCTGCCACAGACGGGAGAAGAACTAGTCATTCGGGAACGTCCTGGAACATTTTCTAACAGATCCTGACATCCCATCAGTCTCACTTCCAATGTTCCTAAGGAATTTTGGGAGAGTAAAGAATATTATTGTGTAAAAGATAAAGTGATTCTTGTCAGCCTGTCCTCACAGGAGTCCAAGAATTTCTCAGACTCATGGTTAATAGCTCAAATCTACTCCAGATTAATAGACTGCAAATCCATATGACCAGAAAGCTCTGTCTGGCCTAGAAGACATAAGTCCAGTTCCTAGAAAAATCAAATGTCCATATGACAAGAGGCATTACAACAATGAAAAGAAATGCAACTAATTTTTCTCTCTGTTCTCCTCACAACGACATGCCATGCATGTATGTACCTGTAAGGGCTGTAGGTTTGATGACTGAAGTGGGTTGGATGCTGCCATGCTGAGCTCCCAGGGAGGAAGTATTTACTAGTTCCTGCTTGATGAGTGCTCTTTTTGGGTGATCAGGAGAAAGCTCATTAAGCTGATGTTCCAAGGACAAGCGCAGCAGGTCAATCTTCTGAGAGGACTCTTGCAAACGACCCTGAGCCTGGCAATATGAAGTAGAACAGAAAGCAGGCAGAAATTTTCAGTGTACAACCCCAGTCCAGGTACTATTAATCCTTTATGAACTGCTACAGTAAGCTTCAAAAAAAGGCCAGATAACATCTTCCTAATAAAAGAACAAGATGAAATATTGTCCCACAGATCCTAACCACCCCATCAGTGTCACTTCTGAAATTCCTGAGAAATTTCACTGAAGCAAGGAACGTTGCCCTAGAAGGGAAAGTGATCCCAATCAGTCTGTCCTCACAGAGACATAGGAACTTCCCAAATTAATAACTCTTGGTTAACTCTAGTCATTCATGCTAAATCACTAATGTTGAGGAATGAAACCACCCTCTCAGGAAGTCCTGAATATGTGCTTACCTCAGCCAAAAACTTGCGGTCCTGTACTCGACTCCCTCCTAGGATCTTCAGCACATTTTTTGCCCCCTCAGCTACAGCGGCTTCAATGCGCAGGTGATGCCTCAGCTCCTCAATACGCAGCTCCAAAGGACTGATGGTAGTCCCCAACCTCACTGGCCATTTGGGAGATAAAATATGGTAAGAATGAAAACTGAGTATTGTGGGTCTTAGGGCTTTGGCCACATCCGTTCTGGGCTGTATGAGTTACTTAAAACACCCTACCTGCTGGATCCACTGCATCTTCCATCCCTCCGGCTGACTGAGATACTTTCACAATGTGCATGCGGATTATTTCAATCTTTGTCTTGCTGTCCTGGAGCATCTGCTGAGCTGTAGCCAGGAGCTTCCGCTCCTGCCAAAAAGCAAGCATACGCAGAGAGAGAACCATGCTCATTAAAAATGGATTACAATGATGTGTTCACATATGAGGATGAGGTAGTACCTGCAAGAAGAGTCATAAATGAATGATTCTGAAATGGCATACATAAGCAGTTATGTAAAGGAGACACTGCTAAGGATCAAGGACTTTAAGATCACTATCTCCATTTGTAGAGGGAAAGGACAGGTCAAGGACATGTCCAGTTAATACCTAACCTTGCAGTCACTGAGACTTGTGGTTCACTGGTTAACTCTGCTTACAGTGTTTTGTGAGCAGAGGTTTTGACCAACTAAAAATATCACAACCCTCTACACTGCTGGTCTTGATGAATTAAGCTTCATAATAAGCTTGGATTTTTTTTTTCATTATCCTTTGACTTCTAAATGCTATTATGCCAAACTCAAAAAGTGGGATAAATATGAAACCAGTAAACCTCTGAAATATTTTCCTCACATAAAGAGATACTACATTCTGTGTTCTATCCTAAACAACCTACTGATATCAAAACATCACACCAACTCAGCGTACAATACCAATGCTTTTTTAACTTTCTTTGCTCAAGTTAGTGACTGAATGTACCTCTTATACCACCCTTACTATCTTCCCTGTCTTGGAAAGAGTGCTATCTCTTTCTAGAGATAGAACTTCTACCACGTCCTATGAGATACTTCTCTCTGGCTCAAATCTGCCTCTAATCTAGAGTCACTATGAGCATTGAAGTTAGATGCATTAACACCTCGATGTTGTCATTCCGCCAGCTAAGCACCTAGACTGAAGAAGCAATGTGGAGTCTGTAGCTGGTACAAGTAGGTCTTTCCAAAGGGCCGTTCATCTGTTCGAGAATGACAACACAAGCTACTCTCTAGGCATCTAGCACTTTCCACTGAGACTGCAGAAGGATTTACATGGCTAAGTTAAAAAAAAATTATTTCCAACTCTATCATTAATACCACTAAGCAACATTCAAGAGCAGAAGAATAATCAGCATCTGCTGCCTAAGAATTGCCAAAAGGATCAAAACTGCCAGACTATGCCTGTCTGTGCAGTCTAATAATTCCCCTCTAACAGTGATCACCACCAGATGCTTCAGAAAAAGGCACAGGCAACCACATCATGGGCCGAAGTGGAAAAAACTACACTTTCAGAAAAGCCTTTTCCTAACATCCAGTAATTATAGATTGGCTTAAGCTTTTGGCAAATGAAACATGTGCCATCCAACTCTTCCTTAATTCTTGCTAAATTCCTGAAATCCGTAACATGTTGCAGTAAGTCTAATGCACAATCACAGTATTGGTTGTCCTCTGCAGTAACATGACATGTTGGCACTATGCTGAGCACCAAAATGCAGAGCTAGGATTCAGTCAAGCAAACTTTGCAAATTAAGTTCTTTCACACACCAACTACCAGAGAGAGTTTTTGTGTACGGACTTTAAATACACATTTTGATCCAGGAATCCATGTTCCCAAATGGTTGCTTACTCCTGCTTACCTTGGATGTTGCATACATTTGGATCATGTTCTCAGCTCCTTGTTTCACTTTCATTTCAACATGCAGCTGCTTTTTCAGAGCTTCAACCTTCCTTGCCATGGGGTCCGGGTTTCTTTCCCAGAGACAAGGATCTGGAGATACAGATCCATCTGTACAAACAGTACAATCAATACCATTATTCATTTTTTCTTGTGTCATTGCACTGGGTTATAGATGAGTGACTCTATAAAAGAAGATTACGCTATAAAGTAAGGCACAAAAAGGTCTTGACTACAAAACTGACTGCAAAACACTTTCAAATGAAGTTCAAGCTCATATCCATATATATTTCTTAGTTTGTCAGTAAACCCATCCTAACAAGCACTCTGCCAATTTTATATTAATTCATCCTGTACAATTACTTGGATGTTCAACTGCCCAGAAACTATTCAAATCACTTCCACCTATTCCTGCTCCTGAATATTGTCCTTGCCCAGCACTCTCAGCTGGTCTTCTCTCCACACTGATCTCTCATGTTGCCTCCTTTCATCTTTATTGCCCCAGGTCAACTTTTTACTGCACAGATCACTTCATCAGCTAAATACCAACAGGAGAAACTCCCACTACTTGTGAGCCCTCAACGGAAAAATATATCAATTCAATATATATAAATATTGAAGCATCATAACACAATTTTCCTGTCAATCATGACCCAAGACCTACCTGTCTTACGCTCCTCTTTGTCTGTTATCACAATCCTTGCATTAAGCTCCTGAAGTTCCCAATGCAGTTGCTCCAGTTTTCGGTTGGAAGATTTTAGCACATGCTCTATATGAACAAGATTCTTTCTGTCTGTTGTCGCTTTGCGCAGGTTTTCTGCTCCCTCTTTAATCTTCAGTTCTTTCTGTATAGCACGGCGGAGTAGTTCCTTCTCACCCTCCAGTTTTTGCTGGAAGCTTGGATCCATTAAATTCACACCATTGCCCAGATGCAAGAGACAGCTGCCCTGCAATCAAACAGCATTGGGCAAGAGGATTTCAGAGATGACACAGTTCAACCATTTTTATGCTATAGCAATACCTCATAAGACTCCATTCCATTTCATTCAGAAATTGGTTTACACAAATTCTGAAGCCAACCTTTTCACCAAATTTTCAAGACCAGACCTACATTTGAATGCCAGAGAACAGAACACAACTTCGATCTTAACATGCCTTAATTTGGTTTTAAACCATAATGGAAAAAAACCTTCATGTTACTTGTCTCGTTATTTAATGTCAACACACATCTTTGTTCTCCAAGTATCAAAGCCCTGCCAATATTTGCCCTTGTTCTGATCAACATTAACTTTTACTAGTATGATGTAGTAGATACAGATTCTTATCTGAATATGTCTTGATGCCAACTGTTCAGACACATCTCAACCAACCTGATGGAGTTTTTTAGGGATGTGCATTAACTCTCAGCCATTAACCCTGAAGGAAAAATTAAAACCTATAGCTGTTTCTACAAATGAATAAGCAAAAGAGTAAGCTTAACTTTCTTCTGTATCAGAAAAGGTAAGCAGACTGTTGTCTCAATGTCTGTTCTGCTTGTGATTTACAGGCAGTAAGGCTGCTTTGAAACACTGAGTTGCATTAGTAGCATTCAAGCTTGTTCTGGGCTTTGTTTTACAGCATTTTCAATACTACTTGTTCTAGTGATATATGCCTCATCAACAGCTTTGGGCAGACATGCTCCATTTACAGACTCCGGACATACACAGTATAGGCAGTACCAACACAGGTGTATCTCACTGGCCAAGTAAGCACTGAATTCGGACAGGAGCCGTGAAAGCTTTATTCATGAGGATTCTACTTAACACCATAAGAAACAGATCCAAGCAAAAGGTTATGCTTTTCTCTTCAACGGGAAGAGTGTCTTTAAGGCATTCAAAGCAATTAATATATTAATAACCTAACATTAATGACTCATACTCCCTGCTTAAATGCAAAAGAAATGGTTGCACAGTCAAGCTCCACTACACTAACCGACTTACTGTCACACAGCACGTCGGTGACTTAAAGACAGAACTCTGGAATCCCAACTTGTTTTCACACTTTTTCATCGGTTGACCACATTTCCAACAATAAACCACACTGGGTTTGTGTTACTTGTGTACATTACTGCACTTTAAGAGTGCGCTGTGCATGCAAAGCCTATGCCACTCACACAGAAAGAATTATTTAATCATACTAGTATATTTTGTTATGCACCTCAAAGACCCAACCAAACATCCTCAATCAGTTTTTGCTACAATTTCAGTCTAACAGCAAAATAACTAAAGAAGGAGGAAAAAAAAAAAATCTAATTTTAAGTTGGCCTAAAACCAAGTAGGGTCTGCAACAGATACACAATAGCCAAAATAGGAGTTGTTCAGATTGGTAACAAAACAAAAAGGTTCAGATTAACATCCTGATTCCAGGAAGTTCTCGCCCAATTAGTAAAGCCAGGAACTAAGCCAGAGCTTTGAAAAACATCCAAAGTTTTGTGAGGAAGAACTTGAATCATGGAGTTCCTGAGTCACAGGCAACCTTTACCAGTTGTAAGTTGGAAAATCAGAAAGCTCTTTATCCAGTGTATAGCAAGTGACTAAAAGGAGTTTGCTGGTTGCAATTCTCATTTAAATAGAAAAAGGATTTATTTTCTATCCAAACTATGCAAATGGCTGCAAGCAATCCACTCCCTGGATCCACCCAGAGCAACGGAATGAGTAGTGGTATGAGAGCAATGCCAATAAGGGTGCTGAATACGGAGACCTGGTTATTGATTCAGAGAACAGGTATAGCCTGGACAGTTCTTAGGTCAGTTTTCCTCCACATCACTCTGCCGAAAGCTACTCTGAACACCAGTTAATGCACCATGCTAATTTTCTAAATATATTTAGAATGTAAGCATGATATGTTTTACTGGATCCTTCTTCCCCTCTGTGGATGAGGGAGTGCCTTAACACTGACATTATTTGCACCAGGAAGATAAAATATTCTATTATTGAGGAGGCTGGGAAAGCTGAATTTGCTTTTGCATTGATCCATTTTGCATTCTGACTCAGGAATTTTGGTGGGGTGTCAGGATACTGCCACAGCCCATGCTGCAGCTGTTCTTGGGTTCCCTGGGAAGGTCAGTCCTTCAGGGTATGTCTCCAATGCAATCCCAAAACGTGTTTAAAGCTTGCAGAGAAATACCCAAGCTAGCTTAAATTAGCTTGCTTTTGGTACTTGTAGTGGGGCTGCCAGAACTCATCCAGGGCTTCCGCTAGACTCACGACGTACCAAGGTGTCTAGACTGCTTCCTAACTAGCAAAAATTTCAGCGGTATCAAAGCTGCGTTTAGTCCTTTGGATTGCGGCCCTGGGAGATCCCATCCCCTCAGCTGTTATGCCCAGCCTGGCAACAAGCTTCACCTGCACAAAGCCCAGAGCAGACCTGGCTCTTACAGTTTCACCACTGACACAGAAATTAATTTACAATTCAATTTAACGAGCTAGTGATGAGGAGGCCGTCCCCCCTGCAGACTACACGTATTCACCAGAACATTTGAAATCACATCTTTCATGGCAACTTTATGCTGTAGGGATGAGGCCTGCGTCGGACAGACTCATGCTAGCCACATTCACTCTTTACGAGAAAAAGTCACTGCAAGGTTTGGAAAAAGGCAATTGCAATCCTGTCTGGAGCCAAGTCCCCTTTCCGACCCCAAGCTGTGTAAGGGCTGGTCAGGGTGGAGAGCAGTGAGCCCAGGAGGCACCGAGACGGGGAGAACTTGGTCGGGCTACAGCGCTGGCAGCCAGCGCTCTTTGTGCCAGTCTCTCCATCCCTTCTTTCCCAGATTAGGCTTGAAACGCCTCAAGGAAAGAGGGCAGAGCATCTCCCCCACTCCGGAGAGCTTGTTCCAGAAATGAATGTTTTCCCCAACACGGAGGCTGGCTGCCCTCCCCCG